TCTTGTTAACGTTTGTATCCCTGTTTTTGATGTTCTCGTTTTCAGTTGATAGCTGTGGAAACTCGGTGTCTTCTACTGGTAGTAGATCGAAGCGGTTATGGCTTTCTGAGAAGTATTTTTTAAGCGTTTCACGCCTGGATATATTTTTAAATGTTTTTATGTGATTATCCATTACAAAGTATGTGACCAGAGGCACCCCCCAAGGGGGCGTTCTCTCCTCTCTACTCTGGAATCTAACAGTGAACACCCTACTTCTAAGCCTAAGGAGCACCGGTTGTCAAGTCATAGCGTACGCCGATGACATAGCAATCATTGCAACGGGCCAATAAGCAACACAATCAGCTTATATTAAAGGCAAAATCACTCACCTGAAGTCCTTATCACGTAAAAATTGTAATGCCTTTAATCCAAAAAGTCGTAAAATTGATTGTAGTAACGCCAAAAGCGATAAAAAGCGTGCAGATAAGCTTGCTGTACTATTTTACAGCTAGGTATACAATAGTTAAAAAATTGGTACAGCACATACAAAGTGCCGATGCGCCGAAAAAAATGCTCAAATCCTAGTTTGCGCCAAACACGTCCATCCACACTCGAGGTCCAAAAAGGAGTGCCTTCAAAACTTTAGATTTTATTTCTGACACTACGTGTTGGCTACCACCTTGATGAAATTGTAATGACCGGAAGTATTTAGAGGGTTGTATTACAAAACTGAACATACTTCAAAACAGAGTTGCTATTGATCTTAATATAACATGTATAAAAGTACAATATATGGCATGCCATTTTTCTTAGCAAAGTATACATATGTTCTTGTTGTTGTAGCAGCTTACAAATTCCCCAAAGACTTTTTGGGGAGTGTTGCTGGAGTGACAGTCCTTGGCCAGATATAAATCTGGGTCGTTCCGGTTACGTAGACCCGACTGTCGTGGGAACGTACATATGTTCTTCTTACAGCTCGGCCAACCTGATTCTTTATCGACCTCGATCAACGAATTATTAACTTAAACTTAATTAACTTAAACTTAACTTAAACTAATTAGTCTATTTCTATTTTAGCATTGCCTTTCATTTCATGGAGTTCAATCCTTTCACTGGGCTCTAACCATTGACGCATTCGATTTGCTTCAACGACGCCGTCGTATGGCAACTGCGTCAATTGACAATTATCTGTGTCTCGGATGACGTATCTGTCATTTCCTAATACCTTGGGAACAGCATAAGGACCTTTATACTTTGGGACAAGCTTTTTATTGGTTCTAACGGCAGTATCTACATTTCGAATCGAGGTAAAACAGCTACCTCTGTCTGAGATAATTCCCCTCGGCCTACTATAATAATTAAAGTATTTTTCAAGCGCCGCAGTCACTTCACGAGTGCTTGTTGAGTTTGTCGGATATTTATTTATTTATTTATTTATTTATTTATTTATTTATTTATTACGATCTTGAAGATCTAGATAATTTAATAAGGTACAAAGTATTTTTAATGTTTACATATTTGTTTCGATTCTTTAAATTTCTTCGACTTCAATTATCTAATAATCTGTAATTCGGCAGGTTTCCCAACTTTATGTTGTGTATAAACTTCAATGTGTAGTAAGTCATGTTCTGTTTTACACTAAGCCAGTTTAATCTGTCAAGTAAATCTTTAATTGGGGTATCATACCGTTTTCTTAATATGAAACGCATAATTTTGTTTTGCTTAATTTGTAGCCTGGATATTTGCGAATCAGCTAATGCGAATAGAATTGTAGGGCAGTAAATGAAATGCGGCTCGATAATGGATCTATAGACCAGTATTTTGTATTGCTTACTAATATGCTTGCATGATCGAAACATGAACCCTATTTTTTTGGAAATTTTCCCTTCAATGTATTTTAGATGTTCATCCAATTTTAATTTGTCATCTATAATTATTCCCAGATATTTTATTCGGTTTACTCTTTCTATAGGGGTATTTGCTATTTTTAGCGACACATTATCATCTTGAGTCACTCTAGACCCCATTATCATCCATTTTGTCTTTTCTATGTTTATTTTAAGCATATTTTGGCACAACCACTTATATATTGCCTGTAGGTCCGACTGTATTTTTGAGGCTGCCTCATCAATCGTGTTACAGCTTATAGTCAAAAGTGCATCATCAGCGAATAATCTTATTTTGCAGTATTTGATACAGTTTTTAATATCATTTATGTAAATTATAAAAAGAATTGCTGCAAGCACCGATCCCTGTGGCAATCCTATTTCAATGTCCACTTCGGGGGAAGTCTTACTTCTTATTACAGTTTTCTGTTTTCTTCCACTAAGGTAACTTTTGAACCAGTTAAGCGCTATATTTCTAATGCCAATATTATACAGTTTTTTTATAAGAATATCTCTGTCTACTGTTTCGAACGCTCTTTTTAGGTCGAGGAAAACTGAAATTGTAAATTGTTTCTTCGTTCTACTTTCTTTCCATTCTGCAACTACCAGGTTAAGTGCAGTTTCACACGAGTGTTTTGATCTAAACCCTGACTGCTCATTTATAATAATTTCGTATTTATTTAAGTAATCCAGCAATTGGTTCTTAACTACAGTTTCTATTATTTTCTCATCGCTAGGTAAGGTATTTATGGGTCGTATCTCCTCTGGCTTAATTGTTCCCTTTACTTTTTCAACAGGTACAATTACTGATGTCTTCCAGCAATCTGGAAATACACCAAATTGGAAACTTTCATTAATTACACATGTGTAGGTATAGCCTAAGTACTCCATGCTGTCTTTTAATACACCTTCCGTTACTAATTTTTTTCCTCCGTATTTGTTTTTTAATTTCGTTGTAACTCTCATAAGTTCTTCAACATCTATTTCTTTCAGTTTAAACAAGCTTCTGTTTATCTCCATTTGATTTCCACCTGCTTCGAAGATTTCAATGCTATCTCGGATTCTGCTTATGCTCTCACTAAAGTAACGGTTTAATTCAGTTGCTATTTCATAATCATCTTCAATAAGAGCACCATTTACAGAAATTTTTTGAATTTGTGCTACCTTACTACTCAGATTTATGGCGTCTTTTAGACATTTCCACATTAACTTTTGGTTATTAGTATTTCTTGAGATTTCGTTTTCCATAAATGTTTTCTTTTTTATTTTAACTGCTTTTTTTGTAATATCGTTTTATTATAATATAGTTATCCCAATTATTGGTTCTCTCTGCTATTTTAAATTGTTCATATTTCAGCTTATTCAATTCTGTTAGTTCATGGTCGTACCATTTATTAATCAATTTAACTTGAACTCGTTTTTTATATGTTAAAGTGGCCATTACGTCATTGAGGATACTGTTTATTCCTTGGACCTTTAGGCTAACTTCGCAGTTGTTTAGTTCAGCTAAATTGTAAGTTCTAAGGAGATTTACTAAGTGGTCTTTTGTATAGTTATTCCAACACACGCGGTTTTCATAAATTCTCATTTGGTACTTCTTTTGAATTGGTAGTTTGAGTGAAATAGTTTCATGATCTGATATTTTATGCGAAGCCAAATTCGATACTTCAACTTCAGTTTTGTTACTAAAGAGTAGATCTATTCTCGTTTGCGTTGTTTCTGTTATTCTTGTATTAAAATTAATTAATTGATACATTGCTAGTGATTCGAACGTCCTAATTAGCTGGCTCGAGTATGTTGTGTGTGTATTGACATTTATATTAAAGTCGCCAATAACGATATTGTTGCCGCTTTCAGAAAAGCAATCTTCCAACACCTCATTAATATGTCTTATAAATTCGGCATCACTGGTGTTTGGTGAGTGATATAACGCACAAATCCGCCACTTAGTTATACATCGTATTGTTTCCAACACAATACACCATATATTATTACCTATGCTCCTATTGAATATAACTTTGAAATCAATTTGCTTATGAATATAGGTTAAGACACCACCGGTGTGACGACTATGCGAGTCGCATCTAATATGATTGAACCCAGCAATCTCCAGTTCCGAGTCATATACATCCTCCGTAGTATGTGTTTCTGCACAAAGTACAATATCTGGATTTTCTTCCTCGATCATTATTTCAACTTCATTTTTTGTTAGCTGTGATACTATTTGTATTAAGATATATACATTTTAGTTTATTTTTGTGTTTCTTGAATTTTTCATTATATATTTTTTGTGTGTTTTCTGCATCTTCATTTAGTTGCTAATAACCTAATTTTTGTTTTTTTATCTCTAGTTTATTATTGTAGCATTGACAGTGCCTGTCAA